AACCTCTCAAGTCTTCTATTCTCTCACAGATGGTGAGGACACATGCTACCCGAGATGATCAGGCACCCGCACCCCCTACTGCAGTCGTTAGAGACCGGGGCTGGGGTAGAGGCCGAGGACACACACGCGGTGCAGCCAGAGCAGCCGCGCGAGCTGCCAGCAAAGAGCCACCAGTAGTGCCAGTCGGAGCCCAGACACCTGATACGCCTACTGCTACTACTACGCCAGCACTTCAAGAGACTCTGGCACTGTTCATGAGTATGTACACCACTTTGGCTCAGGCAGGATTGCTTCCCCTTGCTGCAGCTACATCTCAGTCCGGGGGAGTAGCACAGAATCCCGTCGCCCGCACTCTTGAGTAGCGAGTGCATGTTGATCAGGTCACAGAGATTATTCCGGTACAACCTGTAGTCCCAGGTCAGCCCGAGGACAGGGCAGCGGCTTCAGAGGATGAGCAATGGAGACTTGAGAGGTTCAAGAAGTATGATCCTCCTGTATTCAATGGGTTAGCATCATATGATGCCTTGGGATTTCTGGAGGAGTGTCACCATATCCTTCGCACTATGGGTATATCAGGATCGAGTGGGGTTTCGTTCACTGGCTTCTAGCTTCGAGGAGCCGCCTATGAGTGGTGGCGCACTTATGAGTTAGACAGTCCGGATGAGGCAGCTTCCCTGACTTGGACTCGGTTTTTAGATATGTTCCTGAGGGAGTTTGTTCCTCAGAGCCTCAGGGACGCATGATATGCAGAGTTTGAGCATTTGAGTAAATGACCTCGGAATCGGGATTCGAAGGTTCCAGTAGGTTCGTATGATGATTTCAGACTTAGGCGTTTGTCCGGACAGGGTTTTGGAAAACCCGGGAATGTTTTGACACCTATTGTGGAAATTAGAATTTTTGAAGAATCTCATAAGTTTGGGTTGAAGTGCATTTCAGTGTTATCAATGCCCGTTTGAGATTCCGAGTCTGGGAATAGCTTCGTATGGTGATTATGGTAATAGGAGCACGATCGGAAGTGAATTCGGAGGTCCGTAGGTCCTTTTGGAGTCATTTGGCTAAAGATAGAAATTTGAAGGTTTTTGGGAAGTTTGACAGAGAGTTGACTTTTTGATATCGGGGTCAAACTCCGATTCTGGAAGTTATGGTAGGTCCGTAATGTTGAATGTGACTTGTGTGCAAAATTTAAGGTCAATCGCATATGATTTGATAGGTTTCGGCATCGAGTATAGAAGTTTGAAGTTCTAAGTTCATTAAGCTTGAATCGGGTTGCGATTCGTGATTTTGATGTTGTTTGAGGTAATTGCAAGGCTCGACTAAGTTTGAATGAGGTATTAGGACTGGTTGGTAGGTTTGGTCGAGGTCCCGGGGGCCTCGGGCATGTTTCGGATGCTCAACAAGTCGATTCTTGCCTTGTGAGGATTGCTGGTTTTCTGGTGTGAGTGAAATAGGTTTTTACTCTATGCGATCACGTGAGTGGGTCTGCGATCGGATAGTACAAGATTTGGAGGTAGCTGGTATTGGCTTATGCGATCGCAGGGGTGTATGTGCGATCGCGTAGATGAAGAAATTGGAGGCTGCTGGTTTTGGCGCGATCGCAGGGGTGTGTTTGCGATCGCATTGTGCAAGAATTTGGAGGCCCTGGATTGGCTTATGCAATAGCGGAGCATTGTTTGCGATCGCATAGAAGGGTCTTCTAGGCAGTGAAGTATTTTAAAACGGGGTTTGGCTCACTTTTATCTAAAATCTTTCATGGGAGCCGATTTTGGAGCAACTTTGGAGTGTCATTTTCATCACCAAGCATGAGGTAGGTGATTTCTACTTGTTTTGAGTAAATACAGGTTTATATATGGATTTAGACAAAAAATTGTAGAAATTTGGGGATTTTGAGACCTAGAAATTTGATATTCTTGAATTTTGACCACGATTTTGGGCATGAAATTAGGAGAAAATTATATATTTGAGTTCGTGAGTTCATGGGTAAACTTTATTTTCGAAATTTTTTGGAATCGAGGCACATGGGCCCGAGAGCAATTTTGTCAACTGTTCGATCGGGGTTAGGAATTGTTATAAATTAGATTGTAATGAGTAATTGAACATATATTAATGAATTTGCATAAATATTGGCTAGTTTTGGAGCATTGTGCATCGATTCGAGTCTTCGGAAGAGAGTGGAACCCTGGTTATTGTGAGTCTCATTTCTAATCTTGTAAGAGGGAATTGTCCCCATAGGTGAGTTAATTCGTTATGTGCTTTTAATTGTGGGGGTTGCATACGTACGAGGTGGCGAGGATCCGTGCGTAGCTACTATTATGCTATTGTCCGGATAGTCTAGTACCCAAAACATGCTGTGCTTGGAAATATTTATAATCCTATTGACGGTTTGAATTGCTTAAATTCTATCGAATTGGTAAATGAATTTCTAAAAGGATTAAACTTCATTTTTCTTAAATCGTTAAAAAGGGAGAATTTGGATTTTTCCTTGGATAGTTGTTTATTAATGAAGTCTTGATTAACTATTTGAATATGTGATTCTATGTGTACCTACATCGCATGTATGATTTGTGAGCAGGGTGTTTGTTTATTTTATATTGATCGTGTCGCATGGCTGATTCGCGAGCGGGGTAATAGATACATTTATGGTTCGTGCCGTTCGACCCTCGGCAGTGCACATTTTACATTTCTGTTGGATCGGGCCGTACGACCTCTGTAGGGTTGCGCATGCTGGTATTGCTTGCCTTGAAGTTTATTGATATTGATATTTGCCCTCCTAACCTTGAGATAATTGAAAATTAATTGATTATGAATCCGGAGACTTTTAATATAAAAAGGAACTTTTACCTGTTCAGGACTTATTTGAAATTTCTAACGTTCTTGATAAAGCCGTGATTATTTGCATTAATAATATATTACCATTGGACCACTAGTAAATGTTGAAGTCGACCTCTTATCTCTACTTCTTCGAGATTAGACGGGATACTCATTGGGTACACGTTGTTTTCGTACTCATACTACACTTGCTGTGCATTTTTGTTACACAGGTTTATGTGTGGCTAGTGGCATAGCGACATGGTTGATACGAAGACTCGGGTGAGTTGCATTTATCGAGACGACCGTAGCCAGCAGAGTCTCCTTCAGAGTATTGTATTGTATTTTTATTTCTGTCCACTTGTATTCCGGACAATTACTGTATTTTATTTCATTCCTAGTAAATGCTCATGCACTTGTGACACCGGGTTCTGAGATGATTATGGGGTATCTTGTATTAACTTCTTAACATTTATATTTCATTTGAAACGATTATCTTTTACTAGTAAAATTGAAGGAAAATCATAGTTTTCAAACTTATTAAAACGAGAATTTAATTAAGTATTTTGGTTGGCTTGCCTGACAGCGGTGTCCGGCGCCATCACGACCCTTAGTGGATTTTGGATCGTGACAATTATAGTAGTAGGTTGATGTCCATCATAATATGGAGTGATGCTATTATGTCATAGTATGCAGATTGATTTATCAATAATCGGTTAAACCATACATTCTTTGATCCTGAATCCTGATCATAGAGAGCTGAACATCTAAAGGGAAATTTTAAACTAATAAAGGAAGAAAAATATACTTCTGCTAATAGATTACAAGGAGTAGGGAATGCTTAAATTGGAAGCAATAATGGCCACTGATATTCAAACTTATGCGCTGCATTTAAAATTGTGACCTCTTGATTGCCATCCATTCCAATTAGTGATTAATATAGGAAAGATTTTTTTTTATTCCTATTGTACTGTAGGAAAAAATTAATAGCAACCGAACAAGCACCATGCCAATATTTTCTCCCTAACTTAATAGAGTATCACAGATCTCCCTTTTACTATGGATTTTATATTTTGACACAAACTGATATGTAGGAATATTAAGAAGATTTGCAAAGAGATAACAGTTTATACTTGGTAGTACAAGAATGGAAATAGAAACACCAATCATACTCCAAATATGGAATTAATGATCCACGACTACAGATTTCTCTTTGTCTCTCGCAGTTTATTGTAGGACTTCTTGCAGATTTTTTGAAAAAATATCGAGTGAGCAGCAAGCCTCACGGGGCAATGTGGAGAGGAAGGGAGAGAGGAGAGAAAGAAGGAAATTGTGTAACTAAATCCCTTGATTGAAGCCATAAATAATGGATTGAGAGCCTTTTAAAGTGGATTGTATATATTTGGTAAACAAAATTTGTTTATGCCGGGTAATTTATTAAACATGAACATTAAGGATAATAAAGTTTCAAATAATATATAAAAATAAAAAAACCCAATCTAAATTGCTTTAAACATCCTCCCAAACCCAATACCATATCCAAAAACCTGGCCCATTAACCTTTCCCCTCGTCAAAACCTAATCCTTCCCCGCATTAAAAAGATTAGAAGACCTAAATAATGAGAGATCCCCC